GAAGCCTGCTACCCATTCCTTTCCTTTTGTGTCCTCTAGTCCTTCTTTATGGGAACTCATGAAGAACTTTTCTGTATGCACCCTCTCCACCCAACCCTTGCTTTTAGAGACCTCTATCCTGTCCGCCCTCTGTCTCCTCTTTTCTAAGCTGAACAGTCCCAGTCTCTGTAGCCTCTCTTCATCTGGGACCTGTTCCCAACCCCGATCATGTTAGTTGCCCTCCCCTCTCCCAGCCTTTCTCTTCCCCTCTCCCACCTCCTTTTCCCAGTCTCCCCCAGGGGCTGATGGCCGAGTGGTGTGATGTGCCCAGTGTGGGCACTCCGGGCACTCCAAGCCAGGACTGGTTTTCAAGCGGGGCACCCCTGAGAACTGTCTGTCCGGGGTGGGGGTCGGGACCCTTTAAGCGCAGCCCTCGGCTAGCCTGAGACAGCATCTCCACGCTCTAAGTCCTCCTCTGATGCCCTGCTGGCACTGCTTCCGGCCATCCTTAAGCCCTGTTCAGGGTCCACTCAATGTGGACATGCTAGTTCGAATTAGCAAAACGCTAAATCGAACTAGTTTTTAGTTCTAGACGCGTTAGTTCGAATTAGCTTAGTTCGAATTAACTAATTCGAACTAAGTTAGTTCGAACTAACTCTGTAGTGTAGACATACCCTTCTATATTAATGGAGGAGGTACAGAGTCTAGTATGGAGGTTGGGTGCAGAGGGGGAATTGGGGTAAAGGGTTGAGGTGTAGAAGGGAATGTGGGATCTGGGAGAGAGTTTGGGTGAGGAATATAGTTTTGATCTGAGGCACTGGACTAAGGTCCAGGGGGTTGGTTTGTGATCTAGGGCAGGGAATTGGGGTGCAGGGGTTTGGGTTGTGAGCTAGGGCCGGAGGGGATTGTGATCTGAGGCAGGGGGTTTGGAGTAAAGGGAGGGAGGGCAGAAAGTTGGGGAAGGAAGAGGCTGGGGTGCCCGAAGCATGCTCTGGCCAAGAGACTTACCAGCCAGCAGCTTCTCATGCAGGCAGGCAAGAAGCCTGCCCTTCACCTCACACAGGCTGCAACCATGTGCTTTGTGAATAACTATGAGTGAATAACTGAGCCCAGAGGGGAGGGAGCGTGGTGCTTCGTGGCTGCCTGTTATTCAAACAGACAGCTCCCATTGGCCAGGTTCTAGCCAGAAAATGGCCAATGGGATTGTGCTAGGGACGGGAACAACACTTGAAGCCTTCCCCCTCCCCTCCAGGGCTCAGAGTTTTTAAAGGGAAATTGCTCCGCAGCCACATTTCTAAGCAGCATGCAGGTGGGATGAAGCAAGCCTGCATGGGGGTCCCCACAGCATCCACAGGCTGGCTCCAGTTGCTTGGTGGGCCAGATTTGACCCATGGGTCATATTTTGCCCAGCCCTGGTCCAGCACATCAAATTAACTTAATTTTGGTTCATGCCTTTGAAGATAAGGCCAGTCTGGACCTGAAGGTTTTCTTCACAGCTTTGCAGAAAATACATAAATATTTCCAATTCTAACCATCAATGTGAACAACTAATGATTAAGTCTAAAAATAATTTTTATCGTCAGACTTGCTTGAGAGAATCCAGTTTTACAAAAAGAAGAGGAACTTGATGATACACTTCAGGCCCTTGAAGTAGCTGAGAGGATTGATATAGCCTTTGAAATTGAACAGGTTTCTGAAGAACCAAGGAGATCTTTACATCTTACTGCACTTTGCAAGATGGGCACCTCAAATGACAGCCATTAAGGCCACTATAGTGCATGATTTAAGAGTATTATTGAATGCTTAAAAGAAGATAACTGTGACTAAATGCAGGAGTAGCAAGGACATAATTGAGCAAAAAGCAACATGTCTGATAGCCTGGCTGTTTTACCTCAGTGTGTTTTGGTGGTGTAGGGTCTTCATTGGCTTCAGTCTCTGGAATCTGTCAGTGACAGAAAATTGACTTGTTCCAAGTCCTCCAACACAACGAATGAGCTCAGCAATCTCAGAGCTGAAAATAATGCTGAAGAAAATTGTAAAAGTCTCAGACCAGGTGGAAAGTAATGGGTTACGAAATGCAAACTTTCCAAGCCACAGGAAACTGTGTACTCTGCATTGATGATATGTTTATATATAATTGTGTGTAAGAAGCAAAGGAGGACTATTGAAGAAAATATTTTGAGGTTAGAGGTAATATGACCAGTAAAATCTTAGTGTGAGGGATTTCAAGAAGCAGCTGCTCTATTTGGTTTTCTCTAGCCCAGGTGACTTCAAAATATAACTTTAGAAGAATCAAAGGGGAAAGTTTTTAAACTTATGAGAAAACACACATTTTTCTTCAGGCTTGGCTCATGAGAGGGTAAAATAATTCATCTTCAAATACAGAGGAATTCAGTTTGTCTGTTGGAGTCCAGAGCTACTTGAGTATCATAGTATCAGGTTATCACAATGAGGTTTTACCAGAAATTGACATGTTGTTTCAACACTATCACAGATACAGCTGAGTGATCTTGCTCTCCTTCCAACAGAGAAAGACATGATAGCATCATAAAACAATTTGCCAAGGAAAAGTAGTGCCATTGGTGTGAGGTTCCAGTAATTGGAAATACACAAAAGTTTAACTTCTTATATTTAAAAAACCCTAAGGTGCTATGATCTTGTTGCATGTTGTTTTATGTTGTACTAGCACAATTACCTGGCATTGCTCAGGTCCTTAAGGAGGGGCTCTGGGCAGGGGAATGGGTGTATGTGTGTAGGGGAAGGGGTAGGAATGCTGGGAGAGTCAAGGCCTCCCTGCCCAAGATTCATACCAGGGCTGCTTGCTCATCCTCTTCCTGCCTCTGTTAGGGAGTGAGAGCAAAGTGCAAAGCTAGTCTGACCCTGTGGTCCCCAGCCAGAGTGAGGAATACAGCAAATCGTGCACTTTCCTTTCACTCCTTGGTGAAGGGGAACAGCTACCAATGTCCCGGTACAGTCCCAGACTGGGCGGAGCAGTTCACTTGCCTGGTGATTGTCTCTTTTCTGTATGGTTTGATGAGAAGCAATCCCATCCCAGGCACATCCCTTTTCTGGCACAAACAAACCCTGACTTTGCTTTAAGTTATAAGAGAAAGTTGTAAACTGATGATAATGGTCCTAGCTCTTATCATTTAGGAAGCGTTTTTTAAATAAATCTAAAACCAAATTTCGAAAAATCCCTTGACTCACTTAGAATGACTAACTCATACAAGCTGATTTGATGCTGACTGCCTGTGTGATCTTTGCCAAGTCACCTCATTTCACTGACCTTGGTTACAGTGTTTCTTGGTTAAATTTCCTTTAAATGGGTGTTACATTATATCAAGGGCTGGAGCAGGAGTATAGACAAACCACTGATGTTTAAGCAAAAGTCAAATTTAGAGTTAAGGCTGTCCATGCAACCTTAACTCTGCCCTCTTTCAGCAATGCCCTAATATGTCCTGTTATCAAACATACCTTTACTCTGCCAACCCCTCAGTTGTTGAAAAGTTCAAATGTTTCACCTGGATTTTGCAATCCAGGCACTCTTGCCCACACAGATCCACCTAATGCTAAGCAAAGATCAAAAAGGGAAAAAGTTGGATGAGCACTAGCTTTCCCAGATCCTAGCACTCGCAAAGGGGAAAGTGAGAGAGGCAGTAAGAGGGATTCAGATACTCCCAAAACAACATGGCCTCCCACACATCATGAGGGGGCAGGTGAGGTGCTCAGACATCCACCCCCCCTACAGATTTGGGTGAGAAGAATATGGGTCCGGCACGTGCCCTGTCTGTATTCTTGCCCAGTCTCCTGCTACTCTTCTCAACACTCCCCTTCCAAGTGTTCTACCTCTCCACTTCTCCTAACCCCTATACCTCCCTCAGCTGAGCCCACAATCTCTTCCCCTTGCGCTATCACTCATCTCTAGCTATCCTTTCCCTCTTGCTGCAGCCCCAAACCTGCGCTCCCTGTCGGCCAAACAACCAAAGGGTTAATACAGGTAGGGTGACCATTGCTGATTGGCAGCATCACCGCAGCAGTGATAAAAGGGCTGGGAAACAGAGAAGAGGGTGACTAACAGTCATGAGCAAGCTGGGGAAAGGAACTCCTGTCACCAGACTGCTAGAAAGCCATTGAGGGACAGCACCCCAAAGAGGGTGCGATTGCCTGAAGAGCCTGCAGAGGTCTGGGGGAATGTAGGAAGGAACTCAGGGCATCAGAGTCAGTGAACTCTGATATTGCTTGTCTAGCTTGAGGGCTTTGATCTGGAACCCAGTGGAGTAGGAGGGCTGGGTTCCTCTAATGGTGCTCCCGACAGCCCTGAGAACAGATGGTGTTTTCAGATTCCTGGGCACCAGGAATAGACTGACAGCCCTCTTGAGCTAAATGATCTAGCACCATATCCCTTGCCAGCCCTTCTGCTTTGCCCAGACTGCATGAACAGGGGCTCTGTCAGGGATTTAAAAGGAAAGGAACTCCTGCCCCAGCTTTCGTAGTGATGGCAGGAGCCCTGAGTTCTGGGGCAGCTGCCATCTTCCTCCCCTCCTCCTCTCTCTCCCATTGGTGGCCCTGCTTTAATTATATTCTTCCCAAAATAAAACTTCCACCCATGACTTATGATTGTAGCAACTTCTAAACGCTCAGTCCAAGCCTCTTTTTGTTGTAGGTGAGGGCTTATGATTTAACTTGCTCTGAGTTATGTTCATTGAGGGGTGAATTCACAGCTTTTAGTCTCAATGAAATCTATGATTCATCCAGTCATTAATACCTCTCAGTTGAACAGTACAAGGCAGAAAGCAAACAGTTCTGGAGGTCAGAGCTGGAACTCGGCAACTCCCTGGTCAAAAGACCTGAAGTATAGATCACACTGACACTAGCTCATGCCCTGATGAGGCACACCAGATTTCAAAGCAATCCAAGTAACTGTATGGATTTGAGAACACTTACAAGCATCGG